TCTAGTCTATAGCCTAGTCTATAGTCTAGTCTATAGTCTAGTCTATAGTCTAGTCTATAGTTTAGTTTATAGTCTAGTCTATAGTCTAGTCTATAGTCTAGTTTATAGTCTAGTCTATAGTCTAGTCTATAGTCTAGTCTATAGTCTAGTCTATAGTCTAGTCTATAGTCTAGTCTATAGTCTAGTCTATAGTCTAGTCTATAGTCTAGTCTATAGTCTAGTCTATAGTCTAGTCTATAGTCTAGTCTATAGTCTAGTCTATAGTCTAGTCTATAGTCTAGTCTATAGTCTAGTCTATAGTCTAGTCTATAGTCTAGTCTATAGTCTAGTCTATAGTCTAGTCTATAGTCTAGTCTATAGTCTAGTCTATAGTCTAGTCTATAGTCTAGTCTATAGTCTAGTCTATAGTCTAGTCTATAGTCTAGTCTATAGTCTAGTCTATAGTCTAGTCTATAGTCTAGTCTATAGTCTAGTCTATAGTCTAGTCTATAGTCTAGTCTATAGTCTAGTCTATAGTCTAGTCTATAGTCTAGTCTATAGTCTAGTCTATAGTCTAGTCTATAGTCTAGTCTATAGTCTAGTCTATAGTCTAGTCTAGAGTCTAGTCTATAGTCTAGTCTATAGTCTAGTCATAGTCTATCTAGTCTATAGTCTAGTCTAGAGTCTAGTCTATAGCCTAGTCTATAGTCTAGTCTATAGTCTAGTCTATAGTCTAGTCTATAGTCTAGTCAATAGTCTAGTCTATATTCTAGTCTATAGTCTAGTCTATAGTCTAGTCTATAATCTAGTCTATAGTCTAGTCTATAGTCTAGTCTATAGTCTACTCTATAGTCTAGTCTAGTCTAATTTATAGTCTAGTCTATAGTCTAGTCTATAGTCTAGTCTATAGTCTAGTCTATAATCTAGTCTATAGTCTAGTCTATAGTCTAGTCTATAGTCTAGTCTAAAGTCTAGTCTATAGTCTAGTCTATAGTCTAGTCTATAGTCTAGTCTATAGTCTAGTCTAGTCTATAGTCTAGTCTATAGTCTAGTCTATAGTCTAGTCTATAGTCTTGTCTATAGTCTAGTCTATAGTCTAGTCTATAGTCTAGTCTATAGTCTAGTCTATAGTCTAGTCTATAGTCTAGTCTATAGTCTAGTCTATAGTCAAGTCTATAGTCTAGTCTATAGTCTAGTCTAGTCTATAGTCTAGTCTATAGTCTAGTCTAGAGTCTATTCTATAGTCTAGTCTATAGTCTAGTCTATAGTATAATCTATAGTCTAATCTATAGTCTAGTCTATAGTCTAGTCTATAGTCTAGTCTATAGTCTAGTCTATAGTCTAGTCTATAGTCTAGTCTATAGTCTAGTCTATAGTCTAGTCTATAGTCTAGTCTATAGTCTAGTCTATAGTCTAGTCTATAGTCTAGTCTATAGTCTAGTCTATAGTCTAGTCTATAGTCTAGTCTATAGTCTAGTCTATAGTCTAGTCTATAGTCTAGTCTATATCTAGTCTAGTCTATAGTCTAGTCTATAGTCTAGTCTATAGTCTAGTCTATAGTCTAGTCTATAGTCTAGTCTATAGTCTAGTCTATAGTCTAGTCTATAGTCTAGTCTATAGTCTAGTCTATAGTCTAGTCTATAGTCTAGTCTATAGTCTAGTCTATAGTCTAGTCTATAGTCTAGTCTATAGTCTAATAGTCTAGTCTATAGTCTAGTCTATAGTCTAGTCTATAGTCTAGTCTATAGTCTAGTCTATAGTCCAGTCTATAGTGTAGTCTATAGTCTAGTCTATAGTCTAGTCTATAGTCTAGTCTATAGTCTAGTCTATAGTCTAGTCTATAGTCTAGTCTATAGTCTAGTCTATAGTCTATAGTATAGTCTATAGTCTAGTCTATAGTCTGGTCTATAGTCTAGTCTATAGTCTAGTCTATAGTCTAGTCTATAGTCTAGTCTATAGTCTAGTCTATAGTCTAGTCTAGTAGTCTAGTCTATAGTCTAGTCTATAGTCTTTCTATGTCTAGTCCTATAGTCTTAGTCTATAGTCTCGTCTATGTCTAGTCTATAGTCTAGTCTACAGTCTAGTCTATAGTCTAGTCTACAGTCTAGTCTATAGTCCTAGTCCTATAGTCTAGTCCTATAGTCTAGTTCTATAGTCTAGTCTATAGTCTAGTCTGTAGTCTAGTCTATAGTCTAGTCTATAGTCTAGTCTATAGTCTAGTCTATAGTCTAGTATATAGTCTAGTCTATAATCTAGTCTACAGTCTAGTCTACAGTCCTAGTCTATAGTCTAGTCTATAGTCTAGTCTATAGTCTAGTCTATAGTCTAGTCTATAGTCTAGTCTATAGTCCTAGTCTATAGTATAGTCTATAGTATAGTCTATAGTCTAGTCTATAGTCTAGTCTATAGTCTAGTCCTATAAGTCTAGTCTATAGTCTAGTCTATAGTCTAGTCTATAGTCGCTATAGTCTAGTCTAGTCTAGCCTATAGTCTAGTCTATAGTCTAGTCTATAGTCTAGTCTATAGGCTAGTCTATAATCTAGTCTATAGTCTAGTCTATAGTCTAGTCTTAGTCTAGTCCATAGTCTAGCCTATAGTCTATCTATAGTCTAGTCTATAGTCTAGTCTATAGTCTAGTCTATAGTCTAGTCTATAGTCTAGTCTATAAGTCTAGTCTATAGTCTAGTCTATAGTCCTAGTCTATAGTCTAGTCTATAGTCTAGCAGTCTATAGTCTAGTCTATAGTCTAGTCTATAGTCTAGTCCTAGTCTTATAGTCTAGTCTATAGTCTAGTCTATAGTCTAGTCTATAGTCTAGCTAGTCTATAGTCCTAGTCTATAGTCTAGTCTAGTCTATAGTCTAGTCTAGTCTATAGTCTAGTCTATAGTCTAGTCTATAGTCTAGTCTATAGTCTAGTCTATAGTCTAGTCTATAGTCTAGTCTATAGTCTAGTCTATAGTCTAGTCTATAGTCTAGTCTATAGTCTAGTCTATAGTCTAGTCTATAGTCTAGTCTATAGTCTAGTCTATAGTCTAGTCTATAGTCTAGTCTATAGTCTAGTCCATAGTCTAGTCTATAGTCTAGTCTATAGTCTAGTCTATAGTCTAGTCTATAGTCTAGTCTGTAGTCTAATCTATAGTCTAGTCTATAGTCTAATCTATAGTCTAGTTTATAGTCTAGTCTATAGTCTAATCTATAGTCTAGTCTATAGTCTAGTCCATGTGTACTATTTCAAATTTTTAATTTCCCATGCCTGCTGACAGTCATTGTTGTTGCTGTAACTATTTTTGCAGTTGGCGAAAAAAATAATAAAAATAAACTACTAAAGCTTTTGGCGTTTTAAGTGGGTGCAAACTGAACGAAATAAGAAATAAACACGCACATACTAGCACTGACATACAATCACTCGACAATTTATTGCATGAATCTATTTTTTTCAGTTTTTTTTTGTGTTTGTTTGTTGCTGAAGGGCTTTTTCCATGAGAGGAATTGTGTGATTTGATTTTGTTTATTTTTGATTTACAACAGAACATAGCCTAACTTTAGGCACTATTAAAAAGCTAGTTCCTATTTTTTGTATGTCTTCTTGCTGCTTCCAGCGAAAATTATTAAATGCAGATTTTCATTTTATTTTCTACTTCACACATTTTGTGGTTGTTGAATTTTTAGTTTATTCATATATTTTCATTGAGCTTATCAGAGATTTCAATATCACAGCGCCATTTTTTTGTTGGTAGATGTAAATTTTTTTTTACAAAATTTGTTCTTTATTCAGTTTGACGCAAAATGGTGTTTTGTTTTTTGTTTAAATATATTCAAATTAAAATAAAATAAAACTGGTTTAAAAGCGTTCAATTACTTAGAAAAGCTTAATAAAACTTTTAAAATTTTAGGGAAAATATAAAACATTACGCACTTTAACAAATTCATAAAGAAAATGTACTAAATTCTCAACTTTTGAAAAAAGTAGTATTTCTACTACTATTTTTAAAAATGAAAAAAATTATAGTTTTGTTAACAGGAAATAAATACAAACATATTGAAATAAATATTTTTCATTTATTAATACTTTTTGTAGAATAGTAGTAGATTTTTACTACTTTTTTGCAAATTTCTAATAAAGAATATTTCCTTTACAACTAGAATTTCATTAAGATTAATATTCCATAAGAAAAAGTATGGAATTTACAACTTTTGAAAAAAGTAGTATTTCTACTACTATTTTTAAAAATGAAAAAAATATATATTTTTGAATACAGGATATAAATAGAAATATATTACAACAAACATTTTTCACTTATTGAAACTTTTTGTTAAATAGTAGTAGATTTTTTACTACTTTTTGCAAATTTCTAATAAAAATATTTCTTTTATAACTAGAATTTTATTAAGATTAATATTCTTTAAGAAAAAGTATGGAATTAACAGCTTTTGAAAAAAGTATTATTTCTACTACTATTTTTAAAAGTAGAAAAAATTTATATTTTTTAATAAGGGAATAAATAAAAATATATTGCAACAAACATTTTTCACATATTACTATTTTTTGTAAAATAGGAGTAGATTTTTACTACTTTTTGCAACATTTTTATAAAGAAAGATTGTCTATTACAAATAGAATTTTATTAATATTAATATTCTTTAAGAAAATGTTTGGAATTTACAACTTTTGAAAAAAGTAGTATTTCTACTACTATTTTAAAAAATACAAAAATGGTGTTTTTGAACACAGCAAATAAATAAAAATATATTGCAATAAAATTTTTTCACAAATTACCACTTTTTGTAGAATAGTAGTAGATTTTTACTACTTTTTGCAACAATTTTGTAAAGAAATATTGCCTATTACAATTAGAATTTTATTAAGATTAATATTTGTTAAAAAAGTAAAAAAATGTAACTTGTTGAAATAGTAGTATATTTCTATTACTATTTTTAAAAAATATAAATTTTTTATTTACTACTATTTTAATTTTATAACAACTTATTTAAAATTAATTACTTCCATTTTTTTCTATTTCAGCCGTAACCTATTTTTATGCTGAAAATCTAAGAGGATTAATTTTAACTCTTCCCCACAACTTCCCCCTCCCACCAAAAATAAACAATAAAACACAACTCGCATTTTAATTTATCCAAATGTTACAAACAACAATAACAACAACATGACAATGGCATTTTCAACAGACACCCTCAATGGTATTAACGAGAATTCAATCGCAACAACAGCCGCAGCAGCAAAACAACAAATGAACGATGATGATTTAAATCTGGACAAAATTTTACGAGCAACAGCCTCGGCAACAGTGAAATTTCTCTTAAAAGAAATGCCCAAACAGGCAACAACATCAGCAATAACGATAATGATAATACGCAACATAATGATGTTATAGGCAGTGGTGATGATGATAATGATGACAATGTCTATGATGAAAATGCTTATGGCAGCAAAACTGAATATGAAACAACAGCCGCCAACAATTTATCAGCCACAATAACATCGATACGTTCCAATGTTAGCAAAGTATTGTATATGTATTTTCAAAATAAAACTGCTGCAGCAGCTGATAATGATGTCAATGTTAGCAAATCAAATGAGGCAGTTGGCTATGATGATCCTAGTGTAAATTTGACACCATTGTCCATAAATGAAAAACCTTTAGCTACAGCCTCTTCGGCACTGTCAAGAATAGCAACAAAAATGACCTCTGAAATTTTACAAAATTCCACCTACAACAATAGTAATTTAACCCACATAACTGCAGATGTAACAACAACTACATCAACGACAGCAACAACACCTATGGACAACAGTAATAATTTTAAACAACAAGAACAACATAACAGCAACGTGATAGTAACAACAATGACCCACTTAAATGAGTTTCTAAATGCCACCACAACAACTGCAATGCCCTCTAATACCACAACAACAGCAAGTGCTCTAGAAACAACAATAACACAAGCAGCAGCAACAACAACAAATGGAACAATAACACCAAGCATAACATATCCTAGTATAGCAATTAATAGTTACGAAAATTGTTCAGCTCTATTTGCCAACTATACACAACCACAACAAGGTGAGCAGAATTCTAAAAAAAAACCTTCTCAAAAAATCTATATTTAAAAAGTAGTATTTCTACTACTATTTTAATATAAGTTAAAGTTTAAAATGTTTTAACATTTTACACTTTCTAAGCAAATTTACTTTATTTAACGAGAAAAATTAGCAAATCTAATACATTTTGTTAAAAAGTAGTAGATAATTTACTACTTTTTGCTAAATTTTCATAAAAAATATATTTTTTCTTAAAGTAAATTTGATAAGCAATAATATTCCACACTTAAAACTTACAAATTTAATACTTTTTAAAAAAGTAGTATTTCTACTACTATTTTTGAAATTGCTTAAAATGAAAAAAGTTGTCGAGATTAGAATTATGTAAAGTCTAGTAAACATACTACAATAAAAATTTCGTCAAATTTACTACTTTTTGTAAAAAAGTAGTAGATAATTTACTACTTTTTTGATAAAATTATATAAAAAATATTTTTTTCTTAAACTATACTTAATAAACAATAACACCCTATACTTAAAACTTGCAAATTTAATACTTTTTAAAAAGTAGTATTTCTACTACTATTTTTGAAATTGCTTAAAATGAAACAAGTTGTAGAGATTAGAAGTCTGTAAAGTCTGGTAAACATATTCCAATAAAAATTTTAGCAAATATACTAGTTTTTGTAAAAAAGTAGTAGATAATTTACTACTTTTTTGATAAATTTATATAAAAAATATTTTTTTCTTAAACTATACTTTATAAACAATAATACTCTATACTTAAAACTTACAAATTTAATACTTTTTAAAAAAGTAGTATTTCTACTACTATTTTTGAAATTGCTTGAAATAAAAAAATTTGTCGAGATTAGAAGTCTGTAAAATCTGTAAACATATACCAATAAAAATTTTAGCAAATGTACAACTTTTTGTAAAAAAGTAGTAGCTAATATAATACTTTTTTAAAAAAATTTACATAAAAAGTATTTTTTCTTAAATCTTATTTAATATACATTTATATTGCTTAATAAAAGTTTTAGATTTGATACTTTTTAAAAAGGTAGTATTTCTACTACTATTTTTGAAATTATTTAAAATTTAAAAATTTTACGAAATTAGAAATCAGTAAATCCTACTAAACATATTCCAATAAAAATTTTATCAAATTTGTTACTTTTTGTAAAAAAGTAGTAGCTAATATACTACTATTTAAATAAATTTTCATTAAAACTATTTTTTCTTTAAGTATGTGGGATTTACTTTTATATTCCATGCTAAAAGTTGTAGATTTGATGCTTTTTAAAAAAGTAGTATTTCTACTACTATTTTTGAAATTGCTTAAAATGCGAAAATTTTATTAAATTTTAAAGTAATAGAGGCTACTGAATATATTCTCCAATAATAGTGTTATCAAATTTACTACTTTTTGTAAAAAAGTAGTAGATAATTTACTACTATTTGTTCATGAATTATTATGTAACCTTAAAGCATATTTGATAGACAATAATTTTCCATACTTAAAACTTCTAGATTTAATACTTTTTTAAAAAGTAGTATTTCTACTACTATTTTAAAATGTATAAAAATTATATTTTTCAATTTCTTAAGACATTTCAGACTCTTACTATTAAAAATTTGTTAATTTTGAGCAATTTAAAAAAAGTAGTATTTCTACTTACTATTTTTAAAAGTAAAATAAAATGTTACTTTCACATTTCCCCATGTTCAATGAACGGATTTTAAACAAAAATAATTAGTTTTTCGCAAAATTTAAACCCAATTTTAAATGTTCCTTTATTTGTACTCCGGTTAAATGTAAAGAGGTTAAATGTAAAGAGAAAGGAGAGGGAGTATTAAAAACTTTTTCCTAACAAATTTGCTTTAATTATAGTTAAATGAGAGAAATTTAATGCAAACTTGAGCGCCGGTGTCTGTTCTATGCTTGATGCTGATGAATTTTCCTCAAAATACATTTCCTTTTAACGGTGTTTTTTCTTCTTTATTTAATAACACTTATACGCCAAGATGCACATTCAATTAGCAGAAAATATCTAGAAAAATAGAACAAGAAATTAAACATTTAAAATCACTTTTTTCTGCTTGTGAAGCAGAAGTGTAGCAGAGCAGAACAACAAAGAAATTTAATGTTTTCTGTCAGAAGGTGTGCTTGTTTGTACTGGGTTAAATGCAACTTCGTACGAAAAGTATTACTACTGTCAACCAAACACCACAAACATGTGTTGACAATTAAGGCCATCAAAGATGTGTAATGATTAATGTATGAAGAAGTATAGAGACAAATAAAAAAAAATACTCATACGTATAGGTAAGGGATTTAAATTTCAAATAATTTCATTAGGATTTAAATATAAAATGTCGTTTACATTATATGCTCAATGACAGTGTTAAGTAATGCATTAATTGTTAATGGGAAATTAAAAAATTTTGATTTAAATATTTAATTAAGGGAAATTTTTGTTGTTGAAATTAAACTTCAAAGTATGAACAAATTTTAAAATGAAAGTGTTAAATTGTTTACGCTGTGTAAACAAAGTGAAGGAAATGAAATTAGTTTAGTAATGAACTGGGTAAAGAATGTAAACAATGTAAAGTATTTAAATGTTTATTTTTACTTAATTTCCTTAAAATTTATACTAAAATATGTATTTTACCCCAAAACTTACAATTGTTTACATCATGTCAACAATGTAAAGTATAGTAAATTTATCCTACTTTGCCATAATGTTAGTAAAAATTATCAAAAATTTTGTTTTACGCTATAATTTTAATTGTTTACATCATGTCAACAATGTAAACAATTGAAATTTCAAGTAAAATTATATTAAAAATCCATTACAATGTAAGTAATTCATTTCTGTTTGAGTATTACAATTGTTTACCTCATGTCAACAATGTAAACAATTAAAATTTTACGTAAATTTACCTCTAAAAGGTATGAACATAATTACTTATTCATTTTTATTGAATAACACAATTCTTTACATAATGTCAACAATGTAAAGTTAAGTAAATTTTGCTTAATTTGCCATAATGTTAGTAAAAATGATCAAAAATTTTGTTTTACGCTATAATTTTAATTGTTTACATCATGTCAACAATGTAAACAATTGAAATTTCAAGTAAAATTACATTAAAAATCCATTACAATATAAGTAATTCATTTCTGTTTAAGTATTACAATTGTTTACCTCATGTCAACAACGTAAACAATTAAAATTTTACGTAAATTTACCCCTAAAAGGTATGAAAATAATTACTTATTCATTTTTATTGAATAACACAATTCTTTACATAATGTCAACAATGTAAATTATAAAATTTTTAGTTTATTTTACTTTTAAGACTTTTTAAAAAAGAAAAATTTGTGTTTTATTCTCTTAATTTCAATTGTTTACATCATGTCAACAATGTAAAGTTAAGTAAATTTTGCTTAATTTGCCATATTGTTAGTAAAAATGATCAAAAATTTTGTTTTACGCTATAATTTTAATTGTTTACATCGTGTCAACAATGTAAACAATTGAAATTTTATGTAAACTCGTATTTAAATGGCATAAGAATGTAACTGATTCATTTCAGTACGAATATTACAATTGTTTACCTCATGTCAACAATGTAAACAATTAAAATTTTACGTAAATTTACCTCTAAAAGTTATGAAAATAATTACTTATTCATTTTTATTGAATAATACAATTCTTTACATAATGTCAACAATGTAAATTATAAAATTTTTCGTTTATTTTACTTTTTAGACTTTTTAAAAAAATCAAAATTTGTGCTTTATTCTCTTAATATCAATTGTTTACATCATGTCAACAATGTAAAGTTAAGTAAATTTTGCTTAATTTGCCATATTGTTAGTAAAAATGATCAAAAAATTTGTTTTACGCTATAATTTTAATTGTTTACATCGTGTCAACAATTGAAATTTTAGGTAAACTCGTATTTAAATGACATAGAATGTAACTGCTTCATTTCACTACGAATATTACAATTGTTTACCTCATGTCAACATTGTAAACAATTAAAATTATACGTAAATTTACCTCTAAAAGGTATAAAAATAATTACTTCTTAATTTTTATTGAATAACATTGTTGACATTATGTAAAGAATTCATAATGTCAACAATGTATATTATAATTTTTTTTTAGTTTATTTTACTTTTTAGACTTTTAAAAAAATCTAAATTTGTGCTTTATTCTCTTAATGTCCATTGTTTACATCATGTCAACAATGTAAAGTTAAGTAAATTTTGCTTAATTTGCCATATTGTTTGTAGAAATCTTAAAAAAGTTAGTTTTACTCTATAATTTTAATTTTTACATGATGTCAACAATGTAAACAATTAAAATTTAATGTAACCTCGTATTAAAAAGGCATTTCAATGAAGTTGGTTCATATATGTATGCATGTATGTATATTACAATTATTTACCTCATGTCAAATATGTAAACAATTACAATTGTATGTAAATTTATCGCATAAAAAGCTTTTAAAGCAATTTTTCGTTCTTTATTTCAATTCTTTACATAATGTCAACTATGTAAATAATTCAATTTATAACTTAATCTTATTAAATTTCATTAAAACGATTAACCTTTTTATCATCTCTAGCAGGCATGGAAAATTCTGTACATTAGTACTTTTTTCAGTACATTTTGATATCAAAAAATAACACCGTTTTCCCGCGACATTTTCTATAGTTTAGTCCATAATCTAGTCTAGTCTATAGTCTAGTCTATAGTCTAGTCTATAGTCTAGTCTATAGTCTAGTCTATAGTCTAGTCTATAGTCTAGTCTATAGTCTAGTCTATAGTCTAGTCTATAGTCTAGTCTATAGTCTAGTCTATAGTCTAGTCTATAGTCTAGTCTATAGTCTAGTCTATAGTCTAGTCTATAGTCTAGTCTATAGTCTAGTCTATAGTCTAGTCTATAGTCTAGTCTATAGTCTAGTCTATAGTCTAGTCTATAGTCTAGTCTATAGTCTAGTCTATAGTCTAGTCTATAGTCTAGTCTATAGTCTAGTCTATAGTCTAGTCTATAGTCTAGTCTATAGTCTAGTCTATAGTCTAGTCTATAGTCTAGTCTATAGTCTAGTCTATAGTCTAGTCTATAGTCTAGTCTATAGTCTAGTCTATAGTCTAGTCTATAGTCTAGTCTATAGTCTAGTCTATAGTCTAGTCTATAGTCTAGTCTATAGTCTAGTCTATAGTCTAGTCTATAGTCTAGTCTATAGTCTAGTCTATAGTCTAGTCTATAGTCTAGTCTAGTCTAGTCTATAGTGTAGTCTAGTCTATAGTCTAGTCTATAGTCTAGTCTATAGTCTAGTCTATAGTCTAGTCTATAGTCTAGTCTATAGTCTAGTCTATAGTCTAGTCTATAGTCTAGTCTATAGTCTAGTCTATAGTCTAGTCTATAGTCTAGTCTATAGTCTAGTCTATAGTCTAGTCTATAGTCTAGTCTATAGTCTAGTCTATAGTCTAGTCTACAGTCTAGTCTATAGTCTAGTCTATAGTCTAGTCTATAGTCTAGTCTATAGTCTAGTCTATAGTCTAGTCTAGTCTATAGTATAGTTTATAGTTTAGTACATATTCGAGTCTATAGTTTAGTCTGTAATCTATTCTATGGTCTAGTCTATAGTGTAGCCTATAGTCTAGTGTAGACTATTATTTAGTCTAGTCTATAGTTTAATCTATAGTCTAGTCTATAGTCTAATCTATAGTCTAGTCTATAGTCTAGTCTATAGTCTAGTCTATAGTGTAGTCTATAGTGTAGTCTATAGTGTAGTCTATAGTGTAGTCTATAGTCTAGTCTATAGTCTAGTCTATAGTCTAGTCTATAGTCTAGTCTATAGTCTAGTCTATAGTCTAGTCTATAGTCTAGTCTATAGTCTAGTCTATAGTCTAGTCTATAGTCTAGTCTATAGTCTAGTCTATAGTCTAGTCTATAGTCTAGTCTATAGTCTAGTCTATAGTCTAGTCTATAGTCTAGTCTATATTGTAGTCTATAGTCTAGTCTATAGTCTAGTCTATATTGTAGTCTATAGTCTAGTCTATAGTCTAGTCTATAGTCTAGTCTATAGTCTAGTCTATAGTCTAGTCTATAGTCTAGTCTATAGTCTAGCCTATAGTCTAGTCTATAGTTTAGTCCATAGTCTACTCTAGAACTCAAAAAGTACTATTTTTGTTATAAGTTGGCACTATTTCAAAATTTCAATTTTCCATGCCTGATATTTAGTATTTACTTCAAGTAATTTATTAAAAAGCATTTTACCACTAGATTACAACTAGATTAAAAATAGATTTTTTTAGAAAGTTTTGTTAATTAATTTAATTAATTAATTTAATTAATTTAAATGTTTGTTGCCTAAAGGTAAACCAAAACAGGAATTTCAACAAAAATTTAAACTTTTCACTTTAAAAAGGAAAAAATCCTTAAATATTGAACCTTTCTAAAAAGTCAGGTCAATTATTATATTAACAAAACAGTTGGTTGTTGGTGGCAGCTTTTAAAAAATATGTACAAAAATTGTATTTTATGGCTTTCCTTTACATTGTTTACATTTGATCATTGACCCAAATCTTTTTACCCTCGATTTTTTTGTTTTTGAATTTTAAAGTGTACTTAAGTATATAAAGTATAAAAAAGGGGAGTTGCTTTGGGAAAAAAGCTTAATATTGGGTTGTTGATTTTTTTTAATTGTTAGAAATTTTACAGTTGTATTGCTGGGGAATTAATCAAGTAATTTAATATCTGGCCATTTGTGAATTTTTCAATTTAATTTCTTTTTTTTTTCTCTAAACATGTTGAAAGTCTAATACTTTATATATCTTATTACAAATGAAATGCTTTTTTTTCGTTTTAAGAATCATTAAATAAATTTTAATCTTATTTTCTGCTAAACATGTTAAGTCCTTTAACTTTTCACAATAATTGTCCTTGTTTAATTTGTTTTGTATAATTTTCTTCTAATCTTTTCTCTTATTTTTTTAATGTGAAATAATGTGCACAAATCATTTTAAATGATTACAGGTTTATTTTGCAACTGGGTGTGGGATAGATATCTATGTTGGCCACCTACTCCGGCCGGTGTTTTGGCGCGTATGAATTGTCCTTCAGGTTTTCATGGTGTCGATGAAAAAAGTAAGTATGTTAGTTTTTTCCAAGGAGAACATAAGCTAAACATTTCATTCAACTTATTATATTAGAATTTGCTCATCGTCAGTGTGAACTAAATGGTCATTGGGGTAGTAAACCGAATGATACTTATAATCCCATTGGCTGGACTGATTATAATCCCTGTTGGAAACAGGAAGTTAAAACTTTAATGGATAAAGTTTCAAATTTGGAGGTAAGCCCTAGCAACTAATACAACCTTTAAGTCTTTTTCTCAAAAACTACTAATCACTATCTTTCCTTCTCTTCCCACTTCTTCCCTTAGCTTGTACTTGAAATAGCAAGACGTACACGTACCTTGGAAATCGTTGGCCTTATCTTGTCTCTGGTGGCTTTAATTATATCCTTAATTATATTTTGTAATTTTCGTTCATTACGCAATAATCGCACTAAAATCCATAAGAATTTATTTATGGCCATGGTCCTGCAAGTTGTGATACGTTTGACCTTGTATTTAGATCAGGCCTATAGGCGTGATAGTCAGGAGACGACCAGTAATAACAGTATGTCGGGTATCGAGAATACGGTAAGTAAAAAGAAAAATAAATGACTAAAATACAAACTAGACTATATACAAAACTATAGACTTATTTGACTCGACTATAGACTGGACTATGGATTAGACTATAGACTAGACTATAGACTAGACTATAGACTAGACTATAGACTAGACTATAGACTAGACTATAGACTAGACTATAGACTAGACTATAGACTAGACTATAGACTAGACTATAGACTAGACTATAGACTAGACTATAGACTAGACTATAGACTAGACTATAGACTAGACTATAGACTAGACTATAGACTAGACTATAGACTAGACTATAGACTAGACTATAGACTAGACTATAGACTAGACTATAGACTAGACTATAGACTAGACTATAGACTAGACTATAGACTAGACTATAGACTAGACTATAGACTAGACTATAGACTAGACTATAGACTAGACTATAGACTAGACTATAGACTAGACTATAGACTAGACTATAGACTAGACTATAGACTAGACTATAGACTAGACTATAGACTAGACTATAGACTAGACTATAGACTAGACTATAGACTAGACTATAGACTAGACTATAGACTAGGCTATAGACTAGACTATAGACTAGACTATAGACTAGACTATAGACTAGACTATAGACTAGACTATAGACTAGACTATAGACTAGACTATAGACTAGACTATAGACTAGACTGTAGACTAGACTATAGACTAGACTATAGACTAGACTATAGACTAGACTGTAGACTAGACTATAGACTAGACTATAGACTAGACTATAGACTAGACTATAGACTAGACTATAGACTAGACTATAGACTAGACTATAGACTAGACTATAGACTAGACTATAGACTAGACTATAGACTAGACTATAGACTAGACTATAGACTAGACTATAGACTAGACTATAGACTAGACTATAGACTAGACTATAGACTAGACTGTAGACTAGACTATAGACTAGACTATAGACTAAACTATAGACTAGACTGTAGACTAGACTATAGACTAGACTATAGACTAGACTATAGACTAGACTATAGACTAGACTGTAGACTAGACTATAGACTAGACTATACACTAGACTATAGACTAGACTATAGACTAGACTATAGACTAGACTATAGACTAGACTATAGACTAGACTATAGACTAGACTATAGACTAGACTATAGACTAGACTATAGACTAGACTATAGACTAGACTATAGACTAGACTATAGACTAGACTATAAACTAGACTACAGACTAGACTATAGTCTAGACTATAGACTAGACTATAGACTAGACTATAAACTAGACTATAGACTAGACTATAGACTAGACTATAGACTAGACTATAGACTAGACTATAGACTAGACTATAGACTAGACTATAGACTAGACTATAGACTAAACTATAGACTATAGACACTATAGACTAGACTATAAACTAGACTATAGACTAGACTATAGACTAGACTATAGACTAGACTATAGACTAGACTATAGACTAGACTATAGACTAGACTATAGACTAGACTATAGACTAGACTATAGACTAGACTATAGACTAGACTATAGACTAGACTATAAACTATACTATAGACTAGACTATAAACTAAACTATAGACTAGACTGTAGACTAGATTATAGACTAGACTATAGACTAGACTATAGACTAGACTATAGACTAGACTTTAGACTAGACTATAGACTAGACTATATTCTAGACTATGGACTAGACTATAAACTATACTATAGACTAGACTATAAACTAAACTATAGACTAGACTATAGACTAGACTGTAGACTAGATTATAGACTAGACTATAGACTAAACTATAGACTAGACTATAGACTAGGCTATAGACTAGACTACAGACTAAACTATAGACTAGACTATAGACTAGACTATAAACTAGACTATAGACTAGACTATAGACTAGACTATAGACTAGACTATAGACTAGACTATAGACTAGACTATAGACTAGACTATAGACCAGACTATAGACCAGACTATAGACTAGACCATAGACTAGACTATAGACTAGACTTTAGACTAGACTATATACTAGACCATATACTAGACTGTAGACAAGTGTATAGTATGGCCTATAGATAAGTCTATTGTCTGTCCTAACGACATGTCCATATTCTGGCCTATAGACTAGTCTATAAATCAACCTATGGTTGTCCATATTTAAATTGTTCTAAATTTAAGCACAGTTTACTATTTTTTCCAATTATTTATTTAACCCTCTTCCTTTAACTTTATAGTCATTAACTTTTGATGTTTTCAATTGACTTTTTGTTACATTTTCAACCTTTTGCTCTTTTTTTTTAATCCTTTACTTTTCACTTTTACCTTCAATTAGCCTTATTGGTGTGAGGCCTCTTATGTCCTGCTTGAATATGCAAAAACTGCCATGTTTATGTGGATGTTTATTGAGGGCTGGTATCTACATAATATGGTTACGGTAACCGTTTTTCAAGGTCGTTTTCCCTATAAACTCTTCTTTCTGGTGGGTTGGGGTATGCCGGTGCTAATGACAGCTATATGGGCTACTTGTACGGCAATATATTATGCAGCCAGTACCCATGACTGCTGGTGGAATTACAATTTAACGCCATACTATTGGATATTGGAAGGACCACGTATAATTGTGATAACGGTAGGTAGTATATATAAGATAAATGACAGTTTATTATGTGTGTGTGTGTGTGGGTGAGGGTTTTGAAGAGATAATTGTTGCTAATTATTTGGTTTCAGATAAACTTTGGTTTCCTCCTGAATATAATACGTGTATTGGTCATGAAATTGCGTGAAAGTCAGGCTAGTGATATTGAACAGACAAGAAAAGCGGTAAGAGCAGCCATTGTTCTGTTGCCTTTGTTGGGCACCATCAATGTTTTGTATTTAATACCGGCTTTAGAGACACCCTGGAAATTTGCCTTGTGGTCGTATGTGACACATTTCCTAACTACGTTTCAGGGGTTTTTTATAGCTTTACTATATTGTTTCCTAAATGGGGAGGTAGGTTTCACAGATTTAAAGAAAAATCTTGCAAATTTACAAGAAAACTTTTCTTTAAAACTTATAGGTAAGGGCCGTTTTACTTAAAAGTTTGGCTGTGTTCATGTCTTTGCGTGGCCATCCTGAGTGGGTTCCTAAAAGAGCTTCTATGTATTCTGCTGCCTATAATACGGCTCCAGATACCGAAAATCATCCACCGGATAGTAAAAGGTAACAAAATTCTTAAATTCTTAAATCTAAAAAACTAAATTTTATCTATTTCCTTAAAGAAACGAATCACCCAACTCCAAACGTCTTAATGGCCGCAAGGCCAGCTGTTCAACTGTGATCCATCAGACGGCCAATAAGAGTAATCCTAAAATACAAATTAGTCCTCGCCTCTCGCACAGTAATGCCAGCGGTCAGGCTGGTTTTAATCATCTTGATCATCGTTTAGGCAGCCTACAAAGTAACAATAATAATGCCGTTGGTAGTCTGACAAATCTGAATACCATTGGCCGGCCACAACAGCATCATCATCATCATCGTTATGGACGCCGTCACAACTGGATGTTATCAATGTGTTTTCGCGGCCAAAAGGTACTAAGGGTACCGCCAGCGTCATCTGAACCTCCTGAGTCAGTTGTATTTGAGTTGTCAGAGCAGTAGTTAATTAGATTGCGCTTTAATTTTGTTAGTTTTTTTCTATTATTTTATACTCTTTTTATATATAAAACACAAACTCTCTTTTTTGCTCTATAACTTTCTCTCAAAATCTACAAACTGCTTTAAATACTCGTTAAAACTTTTTTATACATATTTTCTATTAGTGTTTATAAACCGGTTAACCGGTTAACCGAAAAACCGGTTTTTATTGCATATTTCGGTTTTTCGCAAACCGGTTTTTTAAAACATTGGTTTTCGGTTAACCGGGTTATCCGGTTTTTAAGTCTCGGTTAACCGGTTTCAAAAAAATCTAATTTTTAGTACAAAATTGTATGTTTTCTTTGATATTTTATTGTGATTTTTAAAAATTTTGGATAGATAATTTTAAACATTATTTTCCGTTTGTGCATATGAAAACAGACCTAAGATTGTTAAACAAATATTATCTATATACTTACTTGTTTACTGCGTGAGTATAGTAAAAATCGAGAAGTTTCTCAAACGTTCTCAAAACGGACTTTATTTATCGAAACATAAGGATTGTTGTTGCCGTCCGAGAACTTATGCTGCTGGGGTTTTTCACAAACTGTAATGGCGCTTAGGTTGATTGACAGGAAGTCAGAATGACACCTGTCAATATTCCTAAGCGTCATTCACAGTAATTTGAACAACCACAGGCGTAGTGAGTGGAGGGAGGTCACTGTCTATGTCGAGACAATCGTCGCGAACCTGAACACTGTTTATAGTTCTGGGCATAATTTTTGCTATTGATATATATGGTCAATTTATCCCTCGTATGGCAACTTCCATATACCTAACGAATCAATAATATCTTCAGATCTATATAAGTTTGTTTTCTTATGATATATTAATGTACATATCTATACTAAAAAATGCAAATATCTTATTAAGTAATTTATAATATTTCGCAAAATGACATTTTTCAACTATATATTATAATATTTTAAAGATTTCCAAACATTTCGGTTAACCGGTTTAACCGGTTTTTTATACTCGGTTAACCGACAAACCGGTTTTTTAGAAATGGTTAATTTTCGGTTAACCGAAAAACCGGTTTTTCCAAAAGTCGGTTTTTTATAAACACTATTTTCTATAAACACTTTTATTAACGCTAATTTAATTATTTAAATACTATATAGAGTTTAGTCCGCACTTGTTATTATTCCATTATGTTTAACAGGGGTCTGTAAAACACATTTTAGAAAGGGTCTCTATGAAACTCTACATTAAAGACTAGACATCATACATATCATAAACTATAGATAAGAACGCTATCACGATTATATTTAAGCTATGGACTAGACCGTTCTAGACAAGATGAACTACATTATAGTCTAGACTAAAGACTAGATTGTAGACAATAGACTAAACTATAGCTGTAGACTAGCCTATAGAATAGACTATAGACTAGACTATAGACTTTAGACTATAGACTAGACTATAGACTAGACTATAGACTAGACTATAGACTAGACTATAGACTAGACTATAGACTAGACTATAGACTAGACTATAGACTAGACTATAGACTAGACTATAGACTAGACTATAAACTATATTATAGACTAGACTATGGACTAGACTATAGCATAGACTATAGACTAGACTATAGACTAGACTATAGACTAGACTATAGACTAGACTATAGACTAGACTATAGACTAGACTATAGACTAGACTATAGACTAGACTATAGACTAGACTATAGACTAGACTATAGACTAGACTATAGACTAGACTATAGACTAGACTATAGACTAGACTATAGACTAGACTATAGACTATAGACTAGACTATAGACTAGACTATAGACTAGACTATAGACTAAACTATAGACTAGACTATAGACTAGACTATAGACTAGACTATAGACTAGACTATAGACTAGACTATAGACTAGACTATAGACTAGACTATAGACTAGACTATAGACTAGACTATAGACTAGACTATAGACTAGACTATAGACTAGACTATAGACTAGACTATAGACTAGATAGACTAGACTATAGACTAGACTATAGACTAGACTATAGACTAGACTATAGACTAGACTATAGACTAGACTATAGACTAGACTATAGACTAGACTATAGACTAGACTATAGACTAGACTATAGACTAGACTATAGACTAGACTATAGACTAGACTATAGACTAGACTATAGACTAGACTATAGACTAGACTATAGACTAGACTATAGACTAGACTATAGACTAGACTATAGACTAGACTATAGACTAGACTATAGACTAGACTATAGACTAGACTATAGACTAGACTATAGACTAGACTATAGACTAGACTATAGACTAGACTATAGACTATAGACTAGACTATAGACTAGACTATAGACTAGACTATAGACTAGACTATAGACTAGACTATAGACTAGACTATAGACTAGACTATAGACTAGACTATAGACTAGACTATAGACTAGACTATAGACTAGACTATAGACTAGACTATAGACTAGACTATAGACTAGACTATAGACTAGACTATAGACTAGACTATAGACTAGACTATAGACTAGACTATAGACTAGACTATAGACTAGACTATAGACTAGACTATAGACTAGACTATAGACTAGACTATAGACTAGACTATAGACTAGACTATAGACTAGACTATAGACTAGACTATAGACTAGACTATAGACTAGACTATAGACTAGACTATAGACTAGACTATAGACTAGACTATAGACTAGACTATAGACTAGACTATAGACTAGACTATAGACTAGACTATAGACTAGACTATAGACTAGACTATAGACTAGACTATAGACTAGACTATAGACTAGACTATAGACTAGACTATAGACTAGACTATAGACTAGACTATAGACTAGACTATAGACTAGACTATAGACTAGACTATAGACTAGACTATAGACTAGACTATAGACTAGACTATAGACTAGACTATAGACTAGACTATAGACTAGACTATAGACTAGACTATAGACTAGACTATAGACTAGACTATAGACTAGACTATAGACTAGACTATAGACTAGACTATAGGACTAGACTATAGACTAGACTATAGACTAGACTATAGACTAGACTATAGACTAGACTATAGAATAGACTATAGACTAGACTATAGACTAGACTATAGACTAGACTATAGACTAGACTATAGACTAGACTATAGCTAGACTATAGACTAGACTATAGACTAGACTATAGACTAGACTATAGACTAGACTATAGACTAGACTATAGACTAGGACTATAGACTAGACTTATAGACTAGACTATAGACTAGACTATAGACTAGACTATAGACTAGACTATAGACTAGACTATAGACTAGACTATAGACTAGACTATAGACTAGACTATAGACTAGACTATAGACTAGACTATAGACTAGACTATAGACTAGACTATAGACTAGACTATAGACTAGACTATAGACTAGACTATAGACTAGACTATAGACTAGACTATAGACTAGACTATAGACTAGACTATAGATAGACTATAGACTAGACTATAGACTAGACTATAGACTAGACTATAGACTAGACTATAGACTAGACTATAGACTAGACTATAGACTAGACTATAGACTAGACTATAGACTAGACTATAGACTAGACTATAGACTAGACTATAGACTAGACTATAGACTAGACTATAGACTAGACTATAGACTAGACTATAGACTAGACTATAGACTAGACTATAGACTAGACTATAGACTAGACTATAGACTAGACTATAGACTAGACTATAGACTAGACTATAGACTAGACTATAGACTAGACTATAGACTAGACTATAGACTAGACTATAGACTAGACTATAGACTAGACTATAGACTAGACTATAGACTAGACTATAGACTAGACTATAGACTAGACTATAGACTTGACTATAGACTAGACTATAGACTAGACTATAGACTAGACTATAGACTAGACAATAGACTACACTGTAGACTTTATTATCTTTATTATGGTCTGAACTATATCCTAGTCCGAGCTGTAGTTTAGTGTAGTCTATATACAAATGTAGTCTATTCTAGTTTGCAGACTAGTCTATATATTAGTATAAAGTCTAGTATATAAACTAGTTTATAGTCTAGTCTAAAGTATAGTCTATTGTCATTTCTATAGTGTAGTTTATATACTTGTATATAGTCTAGTCTAGTCTATACTCTGGTCTATTGTCCAATCTATAGTCTAGTCTGTAGTCTAGTGTATAGCCTAGTCTATAGTCAAGTCTATAGCCTAATATAGTCTATAGTCTAGTCGACAGCTTAGTCAACAGTCTAGTCTATAGTCTAGTCTATAGTCAAGTCTATAGTCTTGTCTATGCTTTATTAATAGACTATAGCTTAGACTATGGACTTTAGACTATGATAACCCTTTAAACATTAATTTTCATTTTGCTAAACATGTTCATTTTTATAAGTTTTAATAATAATTTTTGTAAAGTTTTTAATTCTATTTCTTCTAAATTTTATTAAACTTGTTGATAACAAACATTATAGTATAGCAGTTTAATATCATTGGCAAAATTTGTAAAAGTTAATTTTTTTGTAATTGGAATTTCATTTGTATACAAAGTATTTTGGATTGAAAATTATTGATATAATTGGTTAATATAATATTAGTTTATAAAAATATGTTTTATATATTGTCTAATTTTTTTTAACATAAAAATAATTCATTTGTTTTATATTATTAACATTTAAATTCATTTATCTGTTAAGCTCTGGCATAGTGCAGAAGATTTTTTTACTTAATTCCTTACACTAGTTTTTAAATTAAATTATTACTTTAAAAAAATCTGAACTAAGTAGTTTACAATCTATTAAATTAGCTTAGCATGTTAATATACTAGCGAAGTTTAAAAAAAATTATAAAAAAAATATATACAATCTATTTATTAATTTTAAAATTTTTATCTCTTTTTTATTCTACTTTTTTTTGTATTCTTGTGTATTTTTTTCCGTTTATTTCGTTTCTCTTTTTTCATGTGATTGCAGAACAAATGTGTGATGCCAAATACTGAAAAGCCAACAAATGTATTTATGACAACTAAAATGGAAACTTTCACTTAATTTTGCTTTAAAGAAGAAATTTTTTTTTTATGAAAAAAAAAAAACAAAAAATTAAAAAAAAATTGTAAAAAACTAAATATATTTTATAAAACTGTTAATTTATAAACCAATTGCAACAAATTAAAAGAAAAGGAATTAATTTGTTAAAAAAAAAAAACAGGATAAAAACAGGGATTGTTTTTTGTTTAAAAATGTGTTAACTAATAAAAGGTAAATTTTAAATATTAAAAATAAAACTATGTAAATGTTAAAAATATTTAAGAAATTTAAATTTTATTTACACTCACCTCAACAAATGCATAATTATATTTACATTACAAATAAAAACTATTTACATACAAAAAAAACTTGTTAAATAAATATAAAATTTAAAAAACTTAAAAAACCCCTAAAAATAAACTACTTGATTATAATAAGGATCAAAATTTTAAATTAAAATCAAAACGAATTTAATAAATATTTTTAAATAAATCAAATAAAAGCTTAATTATTTGCAAATAAAACTTATATTTTATTTAGAAGTTTAAAAAGAAAAGAAAACTTAGATCAAAATTTTGTAAATAGCATCTAAAATAGATTAATATAACTTGGCAATTCTTATACAAAAACTATATTAACTGGACTAAACGCTAGATAAGGATTTCGCCTTTTGTCTGAACTATACATTCGATTATAGTCTACCCTATAGTCTGGCTAATAAACCAGTTTATAGTTTAAACTCGTCTCTCTTCCATAGTCTTGCCTAAAGTCTAGCTGACTGAACTATAGTCTCGTCTATATAACTAGGTCCATAAAACTAGGTCTTATATAAAGTATAGTATAGTTTATAATCTGGACTACAGTTTAGTTTATTATCTGCACAATATGATATAGTATATACTAAACTTTTTGTAGAATAATGTTTAGTAAAGTCTATATGATTGTCTTTAGTCTAATTTATAGTCCAGTCTTAAATCTTGTCTATACTTTAGTCTAGTTTATACTTTAGTCTAAGGTGTAGCCTATCATCCTATTTGTAGTCAAGTCTAAACTGTAGATGGTTTAGTCTATAATCTACCTTACAGTCTAGTCTAATCTATAGCCTAGTCTATAGTGCAATCTATAGTGTAGACTATAGCCAAGAAAAAAGTCTAGTCTATAGCCAAGAGTGCAGTTTAGTGTATAGTCTAGCTATAGTCCAGACTATGGTCTAGTATATAGTCTATGGTCTAGTCTATAGTCTATGGTTTAGTCTATAGTCTAGTCTATAGTTTAGTCTATAGTCTAGTCTATAATCTAGTTTATAATCTAGTCTATAGTATAGTATATAGTCTAATCTATAGTCTAGTCAAGTCTACAGTCTAATCCATAGTATTGTATATAGTCTGGTCTTTAGTTTAGTTTATAGTCTAGTCTATAGTCTAGCCTATAGTCTAGTCTATAGTCTAATCTTTAGTCTTTATTCTAGTCTATAGTCTAGTCTATAGTATAGTCTATAGTCTAGTCTATAGTCTAATCAATAGTACAGTCTAGAGTCTAGTCTATAGTCAAGTCTATAGTTTAATCTATAGTATAGTATATAGCCTGGTCTTTAGTTTAGTCTATAGTCTAGTCTATATTCTAGTCTATAGTCTAGTCTATAGTGAAGTCTATAGTCTAGTCTATAGTGTAGTCTATAGTCTAGTCTATAGTCTAGCCTATAGTCTAGTCTATAGTCTAGTCTATAGTCAAGTCTATAGTCTAGTCTATAGTCTAGTCTATAGTCTAGTCTAGTCTACAGTCTAGTCTATAGTCTAGTCTATAGTCTAGTCTATAGTCTAGTCTATAGTCTAGTCTATAGTCTAGTCTATAGTCTAGTCTATAGTCTAGTCTATAGTCTAGTCTATAGTCTAGTCTATAGTCTAGTCTATAGTATAGTCTATAGTATAGTATATAGTCTAGTCTATAGTCTAGTCTATAGTCTAGTCTATAGTCTAGTCTATAGTCTAGTCTATAGTCTAGTCCTATAGTCTAGTCTATAGTCTAGTTCTATAGCTCTAGGTCTTTTAGTTTAGTCTATAGTCTAGTATATTCTGTCTATAGTCTAGTTCTATAGTGAAGTTCTATAGTCTAGTCTATAGTGTAGTCTATAGTCTCGCTATAGTCTAGCCTATAGTCTAGTCTATAGTCTAGTCTATAGTCTAATCTATAGTATAGTCTAAGTCTAATCTATATCTAGTCATAGTCTAGTATATAGTCTAGCTAAGTCTATCTATAGTCTAGGACTATAGTCTAGTCATGTCTAGTCTATAGGTTAGTCTATAGTTCAGTCTATAGGTCTAGTCTATAGTCTAGCTAAGTCTAGTCTATAGTTAGTCTATAGTCTAGTCTATATGTAGTCTATCGTCTAGTCTATAGTTCTAGTCATAGTTAGTCTATAGTCCGTCTATAGTCTAGTCTATAGTTAGTCTATAGTCTAGTCTATAGTCTAGTCTATAGGTCTAGTCTATAGTCTAGTCTATAGTCTAGTCTATAGTCTAGTCTATAGTCTAGTCTATAGTCTAGTCTATAGTCTAGTCTATAGTCTAGTCTATAGTCTAGTCTATAGTCTAGTCTATAGTCTAGTCTATAGTCTAGTCTATAGTCTAGTCTATAGTCTAGTCTATAGTCTAGTCTATAGTCTAGTCTATAGTCTAGTCTATAGTCTAGTCTATAGTCTAGTCTATAGTCTAGTCTATAGTCTAGTCTATAGTCTAGTCTATAGTCTAGTCTATAGTATTGCCTATAGTCTAGTCTACAGTCTATTCTATAGTCTAGTCTATCTAATCTATTGTCTAGTCTAGATTATAGACTGGTCTAGTCTAAAGTCTAGTCCAGTCTATAATCTAGTCTATGGTCTAGTCTATAATCTAGTCTAGTCTTTAGTCGAGTCTATAGTCTAGTCTATAGTGTAGTCTATAGTCTAGTCTATAGTTTAGTCTATAGTCTAGTCTATAGTCTAGTCTATAGTCTAGGCTATAGTCTAGTCTATAATATAGTCTATATTTTAGTCTGTAGTCTAGTCTATACTTAGTCTAGTATATAATCCAGTCTGGAGTCTAGTCTGTAGTCTAGTCTATAGTCTAGTGTATAGTCGAGTCTGTAGTCTAGTATATAGTCTAGTCTGTAGTCTGGTCTATAGTCTAGTCTGCAGTCTAGTCTATAGTCTAGTCTATAGTCTAGTCTATAGTCTAGTCTATAGTCTAGTCTATAGTCTAGTCTATAGTCTAGTCTATAGTCTATTCTATAGTCTAGTCTTTAGTCTAGTCTATAGTCTAGTCTACAGTCTAGTCTATAGTCTAGTCTATAGTCTAGTCTAGTCTATAGTCTAGTCTAGTCTATAGTCTAGTCTAGTCTATAGTCTAGTCTAGTCTATAGTCTAGGCTATAGTCTAGGCTATAGTCTAGTCTATAATCTAGTCTATACTTAGTCTAGTCTAGTCTAGTGTAGTCTAGTCTGTAGTCTAGTCTATAGTCTAGTCTATAGTCTAGTCTATAGTCTAGTCTATAGTCTAGTCTATAGTCTAGTCTATAGTCTAGTCTATAGTCTAGTCTATAGTCTAGTCTATAGTCTAGTCTATAGTCTAGTCTATATTCTAGTCTATAGTCTGGTCTATGGTCTAGTCTATAGTTTAGTCTATAATTTAGTTTATAATCTAGTCTATAGTCTAGTCTATAGTCTATTCTATAGTCTAGTCTTTTGTATAATGTTGCCAAATGAAATCTTCTTGTAAATTTTTAACATTTTATATCATTTCGAAATTAATCTTTGTAAATTATTTATTTTAAGCTAAAATTATTAACAATTATAATTGTTATAAACAAAGTTTTAAACTAAGCTGAATACAGACAAAAAAACATAATAAACAAGCTCAATTACTGTAATTATTAAAAGATTATTTTTTACGCTTTGAAAATAAAAAAAAAAACAAAGATTTTATGTAAAAATAAATGTTAAAATAATAAAAGAGAAATATTTTGTAAAAAAAATCTACAAATAAAATTTGTTTTATTAAAAAGTTACTAAAACAGTTACAGAGGACTGTAGTCGGATCAGTTGTAACAGATTATATAGTGGATTTATTGGAAACACTAGGGAGGCTACCATTTTTATCATGGTTCATGGTTCTTTAAAGCCTGGATTATTTATCGTTGTGGCTGATGATGGTGAGGCAGCATCTATCATCATGGTGGGATCACCAACAGGCTTTTTAAACATCGTATAAAGATAATACAAATAGATGTATACTTTAAAATAATAATAACAATCTGAAATAAAGATACAAATAAACAAAATTTTTTTGTCTTTTATTCCGTTCAAGATCAGTTTTAGATCAATTCTCATCAGTTCTAGATGAGTTTTAGAAATTTTTTTTACTTTGAACAATTTGTGCTGTTATTTCGGGATCTTGAGGCAGAGAGAAACTGAAATTTCTCCTGTAAGACTCAATCAGAATTGAGCTAGGACCAATATTTCATAAAATTTTCAGCACAAAAGACTTTTCTAATATGGGAGATCCTTGTCTTGGCTAGTATATATTTCAATAGTAAAGACAAGAACCCACATATGTAGAAACAATTTTGGAAAATTTTGAGATAACATAAAATTTTATAGTAGAATCGGTCCGAAATTTTGTTCGGAAATTTGAATGAAATATTGGTCTTAGGTCCACTATGAGTTCATTTTCGGATTCAGCTTAAGCACTAATTTTGAATGTCAAATTTTTGCAGCTCTAGACCTCAAGACCCCGATATAATACCACAAATTGCTTCAAACAAAAAATTTTCGGGAATTTTGATGAAATATTGGTCCCAGGTCCATTCTGACTTCATTTTTGGATTCAGCATGGGATTTCACCAGAAAGGTAAGTTTCCAGCCAGATTCGCCCAGTAGTTTCCGAGTTTGAAGCAAAATTAAAAAAAATCAGGAATTTTGATGAATGTTGGACCTTGGACCCACAATAGAACAAAATTTCAAATTTATTTTTTTGTTTGCTTTAAACTCGAAAGTTACTGGCCGAATCCGGCTGGAAAC